TATAGACTGTGGGGCGGGATTCAGATGTAACGCAGGGTGAACTTCGGTGGTTATGTCTGGGCAGGTCAAGGGGTTTGGGGGGAGACCAGCGGTCCACGTTTTCCAGTCGCCAGGATGCGGTTGAGACAAATGGAGAAATCGTCGAAACATAATGTCAGCCAGGGGCCTTTCGAACAGCAAACTGCGCATATCCCACATTTGTAAAGGAGTTCGTAATTGGGCGATATCTTCCAACTGTAAGATCAATGCTTATCATTAGTAACTTACTCACATATATTCATAGTACAACATTTTAACAAAGTATTAAATAATCAAATGTTCTTTTGGCGGTTCGAAGCAAATGTGAGAACTGAATTCACTGAACATCCCAGTGTACCGTAATCAATATTGCATTCATGAACCACTCAATCCTAATGCGGTTATTGCTAGTCAACGGAGGCTCGTGATAAGATCCTCCGAGTCAATATCCCACTCTGGCTTGGGTGGTTTAGTAGTACAAGACCCTCCAATAACAACTACCACAGAAACGAATACAACCGTAAAAACAATATTTTCATTTTTTCGTCTCTGTTTATATTAATATCAGTATCGGTTCCTAGTCCGTTTCAGACTTGTGTTTGAATACGTTCCTGCTGAACATAGGTTTTATCGCCAAAGAGGTGACAAACTTTATCGGCTTCATAATATCCTCATTGTAGGATTCTTACATTGTGTATGTTAGCTCACTTACCTCTTGAAACATTACTTCATAATCAATATCTCCTTGTGAGTGAGACATTTTCTCGCCAAAACATGCACCCGACTCCATAATCCGTTGACCCGGGGCAACCTCCGAATGTGCCAAATGATTTCGCTGCACCTTCGACATGCTCCTTTTCAAACGATCAAACTGTTCCTGTCCGATAAATTCTCCCCGTACTGTCGAATAGAATGTATACTCTGGGAACTGTGTAGTCCAGCTGAATCCATTTGCCATGTTCATGGTCTGCACTAGGCGGACAAGTCTACCATGTTGCCAATATCCGATGTCCGCCCTGGGAATCCCTTCTAAAGGATGCCACAAAACGCCGGGTCCTTCAGGTAGATCATCATTAAAATAGCCCTGTTTCGGAAAAGGGTTGAAATTGAAATTTGACCAAAGTATTCATGGCACCCACCTCCCAAAACGATCCTGGTTAGTTTTATTATGGAAACCTCCCAAAAGTGAACATGAACTTAGTAAAACACGCTCAACGAGTAGTATAACTAAAAACCGCCACTTGTTCTCTCGCTAAAGACGGTTTTTAAGCCCTACCGTTGTGAAATGCATCAAATTTTATGCTTCGGTAAACATTTATGAACACTGCGAGTCATCCAGCTCATTTACGGAAGGTAAACACTCCATGAATTTTTAAGAATTTCAATGTGCCATCGTGTGATGGTCTAAACACCTAGTTTTTTGCGATAACCGTTGACACCTGTGGTGGTGATGGTTGCTATTGAAAAAAAACAGCCGCTTTATCACATAGGTGACAAAGCTGTAAATTTAGTTAAATATATTCCTTGCCACATTCAAACAACGTTGGCTAAACCCGTAATCGCCCATAAATAATGGTGGTATGGTCAATGAGAAAGAAATCGCGGGCCCTATGCGATACAAGCTATTGATTTGCATAATAATGGATCTTGGGTGCAAAGAAAACGCAATCCCATATAGTTATGCAACAGTGATTCAGCGTCCAAACCAGTTTGGAACAAGGAATTTAAATCTCAAGAAAGTTTAGGCACTAGAGCCTCAGCATATGATAAAAAGGAAAAATGAATAGCTAAGTGTAGAAAGGTGTCAGGGAAGTTCAAGCTGAGCCGTTGAAATGTTGGGTTGTTGTAGGACAGCTGAAATATGTATACGACTTCATAACACTATAATTCTGCATGAAGATCGAAATGCAATCAAGTAAACTAAAACTGTTAACATGGATTGCATGTTTCCCTGTAATGGATCACTACCGAATATCCACTTTGACTTCATTTTCGAACAGGTCGTAAGGAAACCCCTTAGAGTTTTGAAACTTCCTTAATGAATAATTAAAAGACCTTGAATTGACATTGCGAATATTCATTTAAAATGATCATATACTAAGCCTGAAGGGTAAAAATTGCCAAAAATTGGTGAGACAAACGAGAATCAAAATGCCCACAAACACTAAACTGACAATCTGCATATGTACCTATTTGTGTCAGTATCATTTTACAGTCAAACACAAAAACTGAACTGAGATGCTTTGTTACATAAAAAATAATTTTCACAGAACACACCGTGAGTGCAATTGTTAAAAGTAAAAGTAAAAGCTATTTATCATTGCAAAAACAGAGCATATTACCCAGCCGCGCGTACATCTCTCTTCAAGCAAGATAATCTCACAAAATGACGACAGTAAGGCTATTAATGTTGCTTTACTCTAATGTCTTTCAGTGCCTACAAGCAACCTCTGAATCTCCGAATGTTTAATACTGGATTCCTGGAGAACAGCTAGCATTACACCAATTCCCAGCCATGTTTTGACAAAATTTCGTCTCATAGCTCGTACTTCAACCGCCTTGGACGTATTTCAGGGAATAATTTCAGGCGAATCGCTCCCAGTTGGCGGATCTGCACGGAAGATAAAATTGAACAAGAACTACAAAACCTTAGGGCGGTGTTAGAAAAAAACGCTTACCCCGAAGCGTTCGTCAATAACCATAATAAACCAAGAACTGTAAAAGAAACAATTGCGTCAGCTCTAAAATTACGAGTCACGTTGTGCCTCCAATTCAAAGGTGATGACGTAATGTGTTTGCTCAAAAAACGACTGAGACCAGCAATTGCTCGAACCTACTTGCAGCTGACCCCCAAATCGCCTATCGGACAACAAGAATACCCACACCCCCGGTAAACGAACGCTTGCTTCTGTACGCCAACTGTAATCTGATTTACTAATTCCAATATGGGTGCGGAGCTACCTACGTGGCAAAACAGAGCGACAATTACGTAACCGAGTGGTTTAACATATTCCAAATTGGGTCCAAAATCAGATGACGCAATCTGGGTTAAGTCTGCGGCATAGAAACAACGGTCGAAACTACAAGACTCCATCATCAGCTTGACATCTTCTGATGATGCAACACCAGATCGAACGAAGCACGGCGTTTCGTATGATCTACAAGTCACGAACGGCAAGATTGCTACGGTTTGCAGAGGCGATTGCTATCAGTCGATGGAAGCCCCCCTTGTGTCAACAAAAAGAACTTTATGTTAACTTATCCTTACTCTAGTGACAGTCCTTTTACCCCTGCCCTTTTACGTTTGTCTGTTTCATTATATTTTACTCTTCTTTGTTGCCATCCATAATCCCTATATAAATATTGTTTTCTGCAGTATGCACCATGTTGAGATGCAGCGAAATCGTCCTGGACATAAACCGTGCAGTATTGCCATTTGGTCTTTTCTTCTGAAATAGTTGGTTATATTCAAGTTGCGTACTGTTGTAAACAGTCTACCCTTGGTGCTCTAGCTTTTCTAGTACATTTTATTCTGTCATCACTCGATTATGCATTTAAAGCTGTAAAAATATGCTTGTTAGGCTACAATGACGCATTTGGAAGTGTTTACAGAGTCAAGCATCTGTCGGTTCTTGTAAAAACTTTGGTGTATCTCCACCTACTATTGTCCTGTTTTGGCTATTTTTCTCTCCGAAACCAGTTTACACGCTGCGGTGGCAGAGTTTCCTCAGCCTTAGCTTCCGAATCAGGGTTTCTTGCAGGGGCCCTTTTATCTCCTTTCTTCTTTTCCACTTACTTGGTTTTCCACGCTTGTTTTTAACGACATTTTGCTGATAAAATGATGTGATGGCATTACCTTAGACTTACTCCATCCCGAAAACTAATCTCCCTACTATTCAGCTTGATATCTTACAACTTAAGGGGAGGTCTTCTGCACATAACATTTCCATGAATCCATCTAAATGTTTTGATGTTTTATTTGCTCTTTGTAGGGGTAAATTTTATTCTGATTCTCTTGAGCTGTGCCAGCAGCTATTCGTTAATGATACCCCTCAGTCGAAGAACATCAGTGTTTTTCTTAACCATTCTCTTCCTTAGTCTGAGTATATCAACAGAGAGTTTGCAAACATCAGAAGGCTCTCTTGCTTTGCCCTACACCTGAGGCGATTATCGATTCCTCCCATCTGATAGAACAGTCTATTCATGTATCCAACTTCACTCGCTATGGTAACAGAGATGGATGTACAAGGGGAAAATGGGAAAGCAGTTTACGTACTCAACAGTTGGTGTCATAATTGGTCCCCAATCATCATTTGTTCGGATGTTTCATGACAGGTCACTTGTCGGCAATCCGGTCCTGGGAGCTTGAGCGCTTGCACAGATTGTTTCTGAACATACAGAGAGGGTTGTCAGGACGAGTTGAAACTGCCTCCGTTGTGGTTAGAATGCGAAGTCGCACGTGTCTGGACCGTTTTAACTGTATACAGGGGTCGGAACGTTTCGGTCACTTTTACAATGTAATTAGTGTCGACAAGGTACGACACGACTGCACTTATGATTGTCTGTATTACTCCGCTTCGTAACCACGCGGGGTGATGCTCACGGGTGCGCTCGGTCAGACGCCTGGTCTTGCGGCCAACATACTTTGCTCCACAGGAGCAAGTGAATATTGTAAATACAGAGAGAGGCATAAGAATCGGGCAATCTATCCTCCAACCGTAGATACACCGTAGATACATCGAGTTTGAAGCTTAGCCGCGTAGGATGTTTTGTTGATGGCATTTGATAACCTTCTATGCAAAATCTCCGCCAAGGCATCACCTTTGAATGCTGAAGAAATGTAGACAGACTTCTCAGCAATTGCCCTCTTGGGAAACGCCTCTTGTCGTTGCATCACAGATTCGACCAAGCTCTCCACGTGTTCATTCTGGATAAAGATATTCCGCACATTTTGGAGGAAAGCTTTCCTCCGAGTCATTTGATTGTAAAACCTGCCTTGAGAAATGTTACCCACGGTAACCGAAACGTCGACGGATATAATTCTCTACCGACATCGTTGTGTTATTAACACTGTAACATTCACAAGTTACAGAATACTTTGGAGTTCAATCCGGAGGACGAGAGATACTTAACCTGCTACTATACTCGTTTAGTGATCTACAGCTCGCCTTCGAGCAATTTCCTTCATCTTCAAACAGCAACTACAAGCGAGTACAGTGTGCTGAACGGTTGATATACTCCCGTAACTCAGATTCTAACAGGCAAAGCCTAATTATGGAAAGTTAGCCAATTTCTAACCATTGATATTCAAAGCAATGACAGTAGACATTGAGCCTCGTGACGGGGGTATCTATTTCAAAAAAGAAAGTTTTGGTACTAAGTCAAGTGCGCATATTCGTTAGATCAGAACGGAAATAATGTCTTTATTTTTTTCATAACTACATACATTCTTCCAGCTATTCAGTTACTTTCATCATTTTGTAGATCATCTACAGCATTTTCCATTTTTCACGGTTCTCGTCGCGTTGAAATGCCTTCAAGACAGTAAATGAGCTTAAATAGTTCCATTATTTTGTACACGGTATAATACAATAATAGATTACTTTCTAACTCAAATATATGTACTTATCACAAAGCGTATCAAGCAGTAATTGTCATGAACTTTTAACTGCTCTAGAAGGTATCGAAAAACGTCCACCACTTCTTACGCAACTAACCTCATAGACTGATCCAGTAGAATAACGAAGAATACCGTAACCAGATCTCTTATCCAAATAGAATGTCCCGAAGTATTGAGATCCATCGGGCCATACATAAAGACCGTATCCATGTTTTTTGTCTTCAAAGAATGTACCTTCATATTTCTGATCGAAAAAAAGAGTAAAAGAACGAAAATTTCAATTTCATCATGACATTTGAAACCAAACTATCGTAGTTTTGGCACTTACCTCACCATTCTCATGCAAATAAATTCCCCATCCATTTCTTTTGTCGGACCGATAAAAACCATGAAATATGTCGCCGGATGCCCATTCCTGTGTGCCGCAACCTGTTCGTAGTCCATCCACATAATTGCCAACAAAATATTCCGCATTTCCCGTTGTGCATTCCCCCACTCCGTCTTTCAGACCATTTTTGACGAGACCGAAATAAATGTGATTTGCAAAATGATGAACATGTTTTTCCGTGTGCTTTCGCTGATCTGACAAAGCCTCAAACAACTGTTGTCGATCAATCACTGCAGTCATGTTTGTTTTCTGCAAGTGTGTGTGTGTTAATTGTAGTCTGAATCTCGCACTTCAATACTGAGCCCAAAAGATAAAACCATATTGCGCAACAAGCGAAATGTAATGCTTTCTGGAAAAGGGCAAACAGTATGGAAATGGACGTCAGATAGCCGTTATATCATTAAACACACAAAAGTGACTACTCCTTGAATTATTCTTAAACTAGTTTACATGAGGTCATAATTATCGTGGCCATCCCTACGGGTAAAAGCTCCGTAACCCATAGAGTTGTTTGCTACCGGGCGCCGCTTCAAGCTGTACGTAAAAGAGCTAATACTTGGGTGTTCAACCGCGAGCAAGTATCTTTTTAAGGGATAAGCAGTCGCAGACAACCAGCGACAACATCTCAAGACGTGAGGGCTTTTCAGAAAAAGCCTGGTGAAGAAAGCACTCACCCTCCAAAAGAAACAATACGATTTCTATCACCGGGTTAAAATGCAGATCATACTTGTCCGTCCAAGGGTGAAAGGTACATATTCAAACGATATGGTTCAGGGATACAATTTATACTCCCCAGTAACCTCATGCACTTCCTTATCGTGGAATCTTTAGATTACGCTAGTTTGATCCAGAAATTAACAAGCTCTGTCCTGGTTACGTGGTTGAGGTACCCAGCTAATGAGATCATCAACTAAATATTAAATACTAATCGCCATCTGAAACACACTGGTCCTCAGAGATGTAGGAAACCAAACAGCGATAAGCAGATACTGTTCAAAGACTACTGAAAATAATCTCCCGTGATAACTGCAATCATTCAAGTACTTATTAAAATAGCTACTCATATGCCACAAATTTGAATCTCAACATCTTCACCCCATTTCTCCGGGTAGCCTTTATATGGTCTCAGTCCCATTCCTGTGGACTGTACCTTTGTGTCTAATAACCAAAAAGATAATTAAAAGTATTGCAAAAACCTGGGATGAAAGTGAAACCTAGTAAGTCATAAAAGTACGGCTTACCAGGTTAATCATACTGTTCCCAGTAACAATTTTAGGCTATTGTTTCTGTCATGAGAGAGCGGGTACAACGCAGCATGATTGCATGAAAAATAATCTCTAACGAAATTGCCATTGCACGATTTCAATTCACCAATAATTATCTAAAATCGTACTCCCACTGGAGATGATTTTCAATCACAGGTAAACTGAAACAAGTTTTTTTCTAGGTGAGAGCTCTTTGGTACAAAATTATAAAGTTTAGAGAAAGGTCTAGTTAGGGGAACAGTACGGTAAGGACGTAATGTTAGGTAGTAAAGTGCGACAACAAAAGTTGTAAGAGTGGTTTGGAGAAGAAGACGTCCATATGGTATCTGTCTAGTGTGTCACCGTGTCGGATGACACTAATCCTGCTCATAGTTTAGCTCAGGCTTTTATACCACGTGAAGTGTGCCCTGATGTTCAAGTCTGTCCTAGATTTACGGCTTTCATTCACTAACTCTGAGTGCCGAACGCAACTCTAGAATAAATGGTTGACGGCAGTCGAGAAATTGTTAAGCTGCTTGAAAGCATCTATTCAACGATTTCTACACTTGTATGATCCATCCCTTGAGCTCCTGTTTGGTTTGTATCAGCCTCCTCTGTAGACGTGCTGTGACTGCTTTGTCCCTCAGTAATACTGAACAGTATACTGCATACTATCTAGATTATACTTAACCTTATCAATGTATTTCAGAATGGCAATGAAACTTTTGTATCCCTTGAAAATACCGTGCACAGCAAATAGCGAAGTGCTCGACCTGCATTCTTTGCCACTGCTGAGAATTTTGGATGATTAAAATGTTCCTGGAAGAGTGAAATCAAGATTATTTGCCGCATCGATGGTTTGCACTGCACGAGGGTTTACGGGGGATAGTTGCCGAGGGAATACGCAACCCGATTCATTTATAATTTTACGTGTCCGCAGATTTGGTGGAATTTCCCACTTGAAGGCTCATCCATTGATTTCTTGAGAGCGCCATGCAAATGCTCTGGTTTTTTACAGTGCATAATTTTGGGCACTCGTGATAAATAAAATTGAGCACCGTTCTCTCATGATTATTTTAGTCACATTAAGAAAGAACGGAGCCCCATAATGAGGCTTGAGATATTTTGCTTTAAAATTTCTGTTCACTGGGAACGGCTTCTTTTATTTGTTTCTATAACGTTCTGATATCCGAAAACTATTTCTTCCATCTGACTTATTTACTTTCTATTCTCATCATACCCATTTCTCCATGCGGATAAGTGTGGTTCATTGAGTTAAATGCTCTCTGAAAACCCAGTTGAAAGGTTTTAGTTTGCTCACTACAAACAAGCATGTTTTTAAATACCTCAAGCATGTGTTAATTTTGTCAGACGTAATCTCACCCTACTTAACCCTTACTGCTGTCCAGTGAAGAGGTTGTACAGTGTGAGGTACCTAGAGATTCTCTCCTTGACTGTATTTTCAACGACTTCGAACAGTACCGACAATAAGCTGACTGACCGGTAGCTATTCGAATATTCTCTTGTGTTTTTGTTAGGAATGAGTACCATTTTTGCATTTGTCCACTTAAGCGACAATACTGCTGCATTCAATTTTACATTTACTAATTACATCAGCGGTTATAAAATTGCTCTTCTTAAGGTCTTTACGATAGTCCCATCCCGTTCTGGAGGTGCTTCTATGCAGACGCTTTAATATTCCGCACATTTCCATGCCTATTGTCGTTGGCATCTCTGTTGTACCTACTTCCTTTTAAAATCATCATTATATTTCTCTGCCTGTATTCCGAATACAAACCATCGCGCATGCTTTGCAATGACAATGGTCGCTGATTGAATAGATACCCTCCTCTTAATTGACGCTTTGAACCACCTCTTGAGTGCCTCCTAAAACTGCACATAATTGAAATATTTTTCTTATAAAAATATTTGCTTTGCTGGCCAACCTCTGTTCACTTCTTGGATGACGGTTGAGCAATATCTTGAAAGCTACCTTTTCATCTCGCTTATAATCGCACAAGCTCCGGTTTCCTTGCAGATTTTCCGTTCTTTTTTCCACCAACTCATCTTTCTTTGTATTCTGGCGTTTTAGAGAATTTTACTTTAAGGAATCAGAACAATCGGAAATCCAATAACTAGATGAGTAACAGAAAACTATAACTCCTTTAGCAGCATACTCACCATTGTGCTCAATTTTTTCTCAGCTGGCGCGAATAATCGCATCCGGTTTATCCCGCTACCCGCCACAAGCACACCCCACTCTGACTCCTTGTAACTGGATTCTCAATATATCTCCCATTACTACTCAACTCGTTTACAACATGCTAGCACCACTTGTTCACAAGCCAGTTTTATATATAGAACACTAAAACTAACTAGTATCTGATACGTATAATAAATGAAATGATAAATCGTTTATCCCCATCCAGCACGGTTATTCTCCCAACAGTACCCGCGGCGTCCCCTGAGTATACCTTGTGAGTCCTCTAGGTATATACTCTTTTTATTCTCCATGGGGAGTTCAGGGTGTACAGAACTGATAGAAGCCATGGTCAATCGAGCGTCGAAAATTGCTTCCGTGTTGTTCTCACCAAGTCGATATCGTATCCAGCCTCTTGTGGACAAACTACGGTTCTCTGCAGTTGTTCGGTTCGTTTCATATTGTAACGAGAAGGCGAGCTGGCTGGGAAAACGTCTATTGATCCAATTCAAAAACAAACAGTGTCTGCGTTCGATTATATACAGTCAATTCTCAACCGTGCGGCGGAATGATTCATGCCACTTTCTGTGGGTCATTCGTTGTTGGTCTTGGTCCGCACTTGGCACGTACGTTGCTCCTTCTTCCGCGTGCCATTCCGACTAGTTTGACCCGATCGCAGCGCGAGATGCGTTGATCGATAGCTCCGACGTTGTGGCATTCGGTGGGTATCTTTCCCGTTAGCTGCGGATTGTCTTTCGGGCTGTAATTGTCGATTCACTCTTTTCGGGTGGCAGTCAACATTGTCTCGCGAGGCACTTCCTGCCGCTGCGTCTGTGCGTCTGGTCGGATGGGCCCCATTCTTGCTTCGGTCGCTAGCCAGGACTCTCTTTGAACTGCCTTCCATCACAATATGTCATCGGCTATTCCTTAGTCTCCTAAAACATTTATTCAATAGTGCAGGGTAACTATTTCATCTGGCTGTCTGCTTCACCTGTTACCAATCCTATTACTGAAGATGTTTGATCGAACACTTAATCCAGTTTTCTTCTTCATTAGTTTGTACTCATGACCCCTGGTACCAGTGAAAAATCCTCAGAGTAAACGCCAGAGAATCCTCTGCTAATTTTAAACTTCTCTGTCCCGAATTCACCGTTGTTCCTTGTAAAATAAATTGAGGTTCCGTAATCTTTTCTTATATGATTCCTATTGGTGCTATACTCAATAGGAACTATTTTTGTAGCTAGATGCTTAAATTTGTTCAGGCAGGTGGCATCCGTTTTGTGCAGAGGTTCCCAGGCCTAGACGCAGTATTCGAGATGAGGTTTCACTGTTGTTTTTTACGACGGAACGAAAATTTTCGGTTTCCTACAGAAGGGTGCAGACTTAAAAATACTCCTCTTGCCTTTTAGGCTGCGATTTCACGTTGGTTGCCGCGACTGAAACCAGTAGTCGTGATTTTCCCAAGATCCCTGGCCATTTTCATCGTTTCTAATTTAAAAGCTCCCCAAATTCCGACAGCTACCAAAGGATCCTGTGCCCCAGACAATAGTTGAAACCTGCATATATTTACAGCCAAGTCCGAATTCTCTGACCATTCAATTATCTGTGGAATTTCCCTCACTAGGTTAACCCTGCCACTTGATCCAACCACCTTCGCATCATCTACGGGGACGAAGTCATTAACAAATTAAAGGAACAGTAACCGTCCAAAAGTTAACCGGATAACCTGAGATCTTGACTCTCTTTTGCCCTCACTGTGACAGTTCTATTCATCAATAACGCGGTTAACCATCTGT